TACCTTAAGGGCACTGAACTTTGCAGTCTAATAGCCTAAAGCTGGCACTCTAGGAGCCTGGCAGCCTAAAATTGGTGTCATGTTATAAAAAATGGAACGATCAAAATAATAAAATGGCATGTTGGATTTTTCCTAAAATCTACTCGTACAAATGGCTTCATAATTTACACATTTATTAATCAATACAATATACTTGATCCTGGCAAGTTACATAATTATTGCATAAATTTTTATCAAATTATTGCCATTTTCAGCAGTTTGATAATGAATATCGTGAACCTAAACCGTCAAGATGGAGTGTACTGTCTATACTTATGGCTTCATAATTTCCATACTTACTTATTTAGAGAAAGTTCATGATATTGCCAAGTTATATAACTCTGACATTCATATTCCCAAGTTATATTCCTTTTTTCACTTTGAAAATAGGACCTTGTATGGTTAACCTAATACCTTTAATGGCCGTGTATTTTTTGTGGAGTAAGGGGTCTCTAGAGTCAAGATCACTGGTGTGACAATTTTTATAACATTTTCGCTCATTAAGCCTTTATTGTTAAGTTGTAACATTGTTTAGGGACCTTAAATGTTGAAAATGTGTCAGAGTTAAATCGTAAACATATACATGCACAGTGCGTTAACTGAAGTGCAGGTATTAGTTACCCGTACTCCAGAGCATACCCATTGATTTGTTCATTTTGTCCGGGGTTTACATATTGTGACGACAGAGAAAGGGATAGCGATGGAAATATCATATTCAGATGCTCGTTCATTGGTTACTTTTTTGTGGGGTTTCATTTTGTGGTATCAGGGAATGTGTTTTTATGTTTGACTATGATACAAAAGAGAAAGAACATCAAAACACTCGGCAATCTAATTTATACTCGGGGGCTACGCCCCCTCGTACAATCAGACAGCCTCGTGTTTCGATGCTCTTTCTATTACTTAATGTATTTCATGTTTAATACAAACATGCCAAGGGAGGTCCTCTTCCTTTGGGTTTAGTTAGGGGTCCTGTGGGTCAATGCCAAAGTCACCAATGCCAAAAATAGATTTTCACATTTTTACAGGTGCATTAACATTATTCTTTTGAGAGATGACTTTTATATTTGTAGGAACATAAAATTGAAGTCTTCTTCTTTGGATGGAGTAAGGGTTTAGTTGGGTCAAGGTCGCCAGTTGTAAAAATAGATTTCTACACTTTTACAGCCTTTATTTATTGACAAATGTAGATAACTTGCATGGTATTCTGCCTTTTGATTGAGGTAGGGATCAATGGGGCATGGTCACAAAAGTTAAAATAGATTTTAATTTGCAGAGTGAAGTTCACACAAACAGTTTACGCTTTTATCAAATTTGCTTCTCGTATGCGTGTTTTTATTTCTATTTTAACGCCAGAAAGGCAGTGGTTTTTCATATTATTGTTGCAATAAATTAAAAAGGTGTTTTCTTTACACATCTGTCTTATGTTTTTGTTTTGAATTAAAATTATCTTAAAATAGATACTCTATTGTGCGTATGTTTTGTATTTATGGTCATTTGAACTTCACTATGACGTACTCGACATGCGCATTCGGACATGATAAGAAAAAAAAGTTCAAATCAAACTCGTGAATAAAAATACGAGCATAAAAGTGGTTACAGATATCTAACTAATATCTTCGTTACATATGTATTATTCATGTTGTGTTTTTCGAAAAATGTCAGATTTAATTTCATTGAAATATTTAAAATGAAGCTTACAGATTAAGATTTTCATTACAGCAAAGCAATTATATAAAAAGCCTAAATTCTCTGGCGAATACGGCTAGCTGTCTTCAGCCAAATAGCAAGGCCAATATGAGCTTAACCCATTATTTGTATTCTTATTAGGGTATTCACTGAGAATCTTTCATAGGATAAAGCGACTTGGCGAGTAAAATATCACTTGCCACAATGTCAAAGCGTAAATAGTGTTTGACAAATCGTAAAATGTACTAAATCTTGTGAACTCATTCTAACTTTGACATCTGCTTACTGTGTGTGTATTTGCGTTTATTTGGTGCCCATATGGGCGAGTCCTCCAGAAGTGTATTAGTCATTTTAGATTTTGGAGAAAGTGCAATTACAGGTACAGAAAGATGCCCCAATTCCAGAAGCTTCTCCTGGTTCTTTAACGTGCCAAGTTGTTAAAGCACCCATACATGGAAAGACTGATTAGTAATTTTAGTTGGCCAGTCCGGGAATCGAACCCACAAGGTCGAGATTACAAGTCTCGCGCTCTAACCGATTGAGCTATGCGGGCTGGCTGCTAACAAAAATTCCGGTGCATATTATATGTGTTAATCGTAAAATTCGATTACATGATAATTTTTGTTTTCGATTGTCGTATTGACATACTATGTTTTTCACGTATTTGCCGTTTCTAATAAAATAAATAATTTTGCCTTCACGTTTGAAGTGAATATTTAATATGTATTTTTTTGGGGGGGTGGGGGGATATAAAAAGGGAGATAATTTAGCAAAATACCTGTCAGCATCATCTGTCTTTTAGAAATTTATATGAAATAAGTATTTAAGTTTAAAGTGAATATGTTTGAAATTAGCCGTAACCAAAAGGTTAATCAGAGCGAAAACATCTTAGAGAAATAATGGGAATAACTTTGCATTCTAGGATTATCTGCCCTTTGATATTGCATCATATGATCATAGTAAACAAATAAACCACATTTAAAGTAAATTCGGTAGTGTCTGAGAAAATAAATGAAATTACTTAAACCAAGTTCTGAGAGCCACAATACCATAATACCTTTAATCTGTTGTCAATCAGGGTTACAATTGAAAATGGGAAACAAAAGAAAAATACTTATCTATTGAGAATTTAGTATCAATTATCCTTTCTTGCCTAAAGATTACATTATATAGCAGCTCAAAACCTCGATATTTAGGTTCATAAAAGAAAACAAGTAAAACAAAGATGGCAATTACAATAAAGATAACTATGAGAATGTTAAAAAGTAATATAATACTACTTTAATCATGATTTTAACATGAATTTACATCTTGCAACATTTAACGGTAGTGTTGCGACATTTAACGGTAAGGGAAATTCGTGCGACATTTAACGTTAACATTGCGACATTTAACGGCAAATGATTTTGCGATATTTAGCGGCGGTTGCGACATTTAGCGGCAATGGTGCGATATTTAACGGCAAGTGCGACATTTAGCGGCGTTGCGACATTTAACGGCGCCACAAAGATTCACTAGTTGGGACGAGTTCCACTGGTGGAAACAAGATTCACTAGTTGGGACGAGTTTCACTAATGGGAACAAGATTTACTAGTTAGAACAAGCTTAACTAGTGGGAACAAGATTCACTGGTGGGAACAAGATTCATTGGTGGGAACAAGCTTCACTGGTGGGAACAAGATTCACTAGTGGGACGAGTTTCACTAGTGGGAACAAGATTCACTAGTTGGATGAGCTTAACAGGTGGAAACATGATTTACTAGTTTAAACGAGCTTCACTGGTGGGAACAAGATTCATTTGTGGGAACAAGTTTCACTGTTGGGAACAAGATTCACTAGTGGGACGAGCTTCACAGGTGGGAACAAGATTCACTGGTGGGAACAAGCTTCACTGGTGTGGACAAGATTCACTGGTGGGAACAAAATTCACTAGTTGGGACAAGCTTCACTGATGGGAACAGGATTTACTAGTTGGAAACAAGCTTCACTGGTGGGAACAAAAATTCACTAGTTTGGACGAGCTTCACACGCGGGAACAAGATTCACTGGTGGTACGAGCTTCATTGGTGGGGACGTGCTTCACAAATACATTCTTGTCAAACAAAACTTCTTTTTGTGGTAAGTTCCTAATCTCACACCCTGTTTATTTTTTACTATTAAAGGAACTCCAGTGAGGTCCGATAGCCTACATACCTACATACAATGCATTTATTTTAGATATTGTCTTTTAAAAAGCATTGAAAATTGTGTATAGATACACCAAAACAAAATTGCTCAATAACTTCGTGGGTATATACATTTTACTTACAAAACTCAATTGAGAATATTAATTTTACAGCCTGTCGCACTCGCAAAACACGTCAGAAATGCGTGGTACCTTATAAGCCCACAACATCTGTGTAGTACCTGCAAGTATCGACTGATAGTTATTAAAATCCCGTTAACGACTATTTATACTCGTATAAATATACTAATTGCGAACAAACAAAACAACGTTCAATATCAATATTGTATGTATAAACATAGCTAATATGCATGTGTCAATAGCACTTCTTATGCTATCAAAGGTGTTATCATGAAATATTGACGATGCATGAACAACACAGTCCTTTATTTCTAATCAATTAATTAATCGCGGTATTTCGGATTTCCATTAATAAACAGTGCGATATTTTCATTTTCTGAAAACAAGTATTGTTGAAGTTCCGAAATTGTATAGCAATTATTTAATCAAAGGGATACAACTGCTGCATCCGATACGATTTTCACCTATATGAGAATATACGGAAGCTTTAGATAACAGGGAATTTTTTTTATGTAGCCTTCACACGTCAATTGTTGTACAACCCAATATTACGACCTTAAAATATCGTAAATCAATCACTTAAGGAAGTTAAGGCATAACTTTTGTCTTGCATGATTTTCGGAAAACGACCATAGTTTTAGTATACACCTTACGTATATTATTAAAGGGTGTATTATTAAAACGTACTTGTGACAATTGTATAGATCAGTGTCATCTATGATAAGATCTAGAGCGTTTTTCGAAAACGTACGCAAACAATTACAAAAAAAAAAAAGAAAAAAAAAAGAATATAATTTTATTTACTCGATCTGTAAAAACTAAATATAAATTTAAGGCTTCGGTGGTTTTCTTTTCGAAAAACGGATCATAAAAATATTAAGATATGTTTTCATGTTTGAAATATTCTATTTTTATCCATGATGAATATACATTATTGTTGAAACATTGTTTGATCATATATTTTTGAAAATCAAGTTATTCGGTTTACTTCAGCATGCACGTTCTTTTTATATTTAAGAGAATTTTATGATAGAAAGTCGTGTGTTTTATAAATTAACTAAACAAATTTGAAAAATAATAAAATAAAAACATGTTAAATGGGAATCTTGGAAGTGACATTTTACGGATATATATTTGTGGCCCACACAGCACGGGTAAAACGACGTTATTAAACGATCTCAGACCACATTTAGGCGATGTAACGGTCGTTGAAGAGGTCGCACGCGGTATAATTAAAAATCATGGTTGGTCACGTGACGATTTCATACCAGACAAACACCCAGATGTATTTCGTCAGCTGAATGAGGAAATTTTAGAAGCACAGATTGCTAACGATATAAAGTATTCAAGTTCAGGTGAAGGTAAACTATTTCTTTATATTTTTTTGGCGTTTATTGATAGGTAAAGCAAGAATCTGCTTCACAACAAAGTTCAAGATGCTCGATTGTTTACATGAGTTCTCCTCAAGCAGGTGTCTTGTGACTATCCCTTCCAATATGTTTTATTTTTTCGAAAAATAAAATATTCAAAGAAAAGAGCAGAGACAATTTCATGCACGCAGGAGATACCTATACTGCTTTATCTTTTTTTTTTATTTTATTGTTTATTTTATATTATTATTATTATTTTTTGTAGTTCTGTTACAATTTTCGAAATGTTACTCATTGGCCAAATACCGGTAGTTGAGACATCTTTTGCATTTGGGCAATTAGCACAGTAGCCAAACAAATTTGTGTGTGTGTTTGGGTTTGTTTACCCTCGCCACCGGAAAGAGACCATATGGGCGAGCATATACTTCATTTATAACCTTTTAAAAAGGGGGAGCTGATGTTTAATTACTTATTGTTATATCCGTACATGTGTTTATGTGCATACCATATCCCCCATGACAGGGTAGTCTCTACGTACAACCTCTGCCATGGGAGGAAGATGGGGCAATCCCATACTAAGATTAAGAATTCTAAAATTAAATTATTAAAAAGCACTTATTTTAAAATTGGCCAAGACGTTTATAGTAGTTACCGTCTTTTATAACAGGTCAATCTAATATTTAGTATAACTAAAAAAAATTAAAATATTACCTATAATTGTAGAGTTCGCATACTTGCGAAGAAGGCATGTCAGGAACGTTTTCTGACCAATTCAATGTGGGCTGTCTATTATTTATGTTGGTTTCTATTTACATGTTATAAACCGTATACATTGGGATGCATATTATTAATTACATGTTTGTAATTAGCAGAGTTTGTTTTAAAATTTTGTAAATTTTGTAAGTTTTACCGAACACCCGCTTTATAAAGTTAATTTTGATTGGTTTAGAGAGGATTGCCTCCTTTGTTCTCATTGGCCGAAAATTCTCTGTTTACAAAATAAGGAGGTCAATCCGATTTTGTGATAATTTGCAAATTTTCTTAATTTTTGGATTGACCTATTTCGACAAATTTGTCGCGCGAACGTGATAGAGATTTAGCAGGTGCCCGTTGCATCCAATGTATACGTGTTTTTACCAACTTTATTTCAAAAATTAATCTTCTATTACTTAAACAATTCATAGAAGAATAAGAGAAAATCTTAGTCCCAAATATGGCTAATAATAATAACTTGGTTACCCATAATGTGATGAGATAGTCTTTATGTAACATATTTAAGAAAATCTCATGCTTGAGTGAACCCGTGATAAACGTATTGCTCCATATGGGGGCACGGGTTCACGTTTACTAGTATTAAGGATACTAGTTTATATATACAGGAATAAAAAAGATAGATAATAAATAACACGGGGCGGGGGGCAAAGGGATATATACAATATGGAGTCTTGTTTAACATTATGGGTAAACTGTAGCCAGCACCTCCCAATTTTGATAATAACCATGAGACTGTATGGTAAAAATAGTCTAGTGCACAGCCTAATTAAGAAATTATTCAATTAAAATTTCATAGTAATAAAATTAAAATAAAATAAATAAATAAACTTCTCAATAGCACCGTTCACGGCCACTTATTAGGGCCACTTTTAAAAATAAACACTTAAAATAGGTTTTGTACACTTTATACAATGGCTGTGCACTGACTCAAAAATTTAAAAACGTAAAAATATATGGTCGAAACTTACATACAGTATCCTATACTGTAGTATATAACTTAGGCAACTACCTCTCGCGTAATGTTAATATGTTCGCGTCTTAACCTAATACATCAAAAAGTTTTGTCTAGTTAGACTACTTGTATTTATCTTGTAAAGTTTCATTTTACGGCATTGATTATATCTTAATACATTCATCTTTTTGCTGGAGAAAATGTGAGCTCGCGGACCACGCACTAATAAATCACTCAAACCTTTATCAGAATCGGATAGATGGACCAACCACCACATATAATGGTGTTAAACGAGACGAAAAGTATTTTAAATTTACGAGAATATAAGAGAATAAACCTTTTACTGTACACGGTAGTTGTGACCAATCATATTGTTGTATTCTGTTATTTAGAGAATACTTCATTTTCATTGGTTGTTAGAAAATACCATAGAAGAAAATAAGAAAAATTTTCTTCGCGATTACCTTAGTTTATGAGCCCATAATTTTGATAATGGGGACATATTTACAAAAAAGACCATTGTTTTACAATGTCCAGCATTATTATTTAATGAAAAAGTGTTTGGTTTTGTCAGATCTTATTCAAATTATAAGATCTGATACCCCATTTTCTTCTTTTCGTGTTGGATAGAAAATGAGGTGAATTAACCTATTGGATACGTCAATTTGTACATTCGATAAATTTTTATTCTGATATTGAAACAGCTAGAAAATTGTTTTCTACAATGTACGTTATATGTATTAAATGATAAAATATTCCAAAACATTATATCTGATCTATACAATCAGATCTGATATGTCATTTTCTTCTTTCGGTGTCGGAAAGATAGAAAATCTAAATTTGAAAATGTGATACAAAATGCTGTATATGTAGTAAATTATACATTTAAAGGCAAAATAATCTATAGTTATAGATCTTGTCTCACTATAAACTGAAATAACGATTGTTTTTAAATTAAATATTAACCAGTTAGTTGAAAATCTACTTTATCGTTATTTCATGCCAAACAAATTTTACGCAAGAGGTTTTTATTGTATGTTCGACGGTCGGTGAAATACTACTTTTGTTAACATTTTTTTTCTTCTCTCATAAAAACTTATTTCACATTCAGTGCTATTTTGTTCAGGTTATAAGCTTAATATATCTTTAAATATCGTCTTGAATATTCTAATACTCCATTATTACAGCATTATAAAACACATGTTTGCCCATTCTATAGAAAAAACAACATATTCATTTCCGAGGCTTAAAGTGCCTTTAATGAATAAAATAAAGAAAAGAAATGTATGATGTTATAATAAACTACATGTACACTAATGGGTAAGTCTGGTTACCCGTGTGGAAAAAAAGGATAAAATAGACGATGAAAGGTAAATGATTGATTTTCATATAGATTTAATATAATCTGATCAACAAGATCCAAATGACTTGTCAAGCGTTGCAAAAAAATACATGAAACATCGCCATATACATGTATTCTTGGCTATCTTCTGTACTTTATATGCTTACATGCGTCAAATATATAAATTATTTCGTTACATTCTTATTGGAAGACAAAATGGACCAAGTGTAACTATTTGCCCGATCACAGTGATAAATGGTCACTTCGTGTATGCCGATTGGCACAGAAAGGCGATTTGAACTAATAAACGACAAATATTCTCGTCGCCATGATAATTCAGTAATAGTATCACGATGAATATCTATATCTGCCTGAAGTCGAGGGGAGTGGTTCTATATGACTGGCAGGGACCACGAGAAATTCGAGCCCCTATTACTCAATGACGGTTTGAAGGGCAGACTTTTTTTCAGGTAACTTCTTGAAAGACCCTGCTTATATCTATTTTATTCATCATCGTATGGTTTCGACCTTTTTCTAACTTACCCATTATACTCAGTACACATCAATGAACATTTGAAAACTGTATTGATTTATTGAAGTGCAGTTTTTTTTCATTGATTCACACAGGCAAAAAATCAATCGATAAATATTTTAACAGTTGAGATTTTTCTCACAGAGGCTCCAATTAATAGGGCATCGGTAACGAACATTCAGAATAATATAAACAAAGACAACCAATAAAATAAAATTTATTTTCTTATACACAACTGCTGAAATCAAAAGGTACATCCCGGCGCTGAATTAATTATTTCCACTTGAAAAAAGTCCTTGTAAGCGCACGGCGCGTTGTCGCGCTCCTGTCTCTATCGAAGCACGCCAAACGGCGCGTTGTGGTGCTGCGCGTTGTCGCGATGTCGCCATGTCGCTTGGCTTATAAGCCAATCCTTCGATTTGAACCGAAGGACAATATGACATCGCAACAACACTCCGCACGACAACGCGCCATTTGGCGTACATCGTTAGCGACAGGTCGACAGGACGAAAGTCCGACAACGCGTCGTTTGGCGCTTTGTCCTGTTGTCGCAAGCGCCAACACGGCGCACAAAAGCGTTCCAAAGCCGCCATCATACACAATAGGTCCGCCAATGATTCTCCTGCACTTTAAACAGTCTTTATTTTGGGTATGTGATAAATAGTATACTATATTCGCTTAGTTGCTGAATTTGTTGAGTTCGTTGAATAAAATAATACTTTGCTCTCCATAGGCTCTCATAATAATTTTATGCAACTCGTATACAATATGGCTCGCATAATAATATATGTACAATGTACATGTATAATAATTTTATTCAACTCGATATTCAGTATTGAACCTACACTCATTCTCTCACATTAACATGTTGCGCAAAAAACAGTATCAAAAGCTGTTGCTTTAATCCACCTGTGTAAAAAGTAAGTATTGATGTGGGTTTTCTTTTACAGTTTGTATTTATATATGCATAGAACAAAGAACATTATTTTGTTTACCCAGAAAAGAATTGATCGAAGAAGCAATATCAGAGCTAAATCGAACTAACAATTTCAAGGCTTCATATATATTGTATTTAAAGGCATAGTATGCCTCAGAAATGAATGCATTTGTATATACTTTAAATAAAAAAGAGAGAAGCAAACATGAGTTTTAAAACATTTAGATAATGGTTTTAGGGCATGTTGGATGCTTACTTCTTGAAGAAAGTAGCACTGGAAGAGATTTTTTTTATCATAATAGTAGCAAAATGTAAACAATGTAGTATTTTGACTTCCATACAAAATACTATATTACTATAATTGTACTAATTACCAGAAAACAACATAAGCAAAATAAAAAGAAAAAAAGGTTCATGTGATTGGCCAATAAGTAATTTTTTTTGGAAACTGTCATAGGACACCAAAAATAAAAGGCTTTTGAGAAATAAAATTAAAACCATTCTCGAGGCTTTTAATGAGGCATATTATAATACAGTAATAAGTACCATTAATTTAGCAGATGTTTTTATATTTTCAGATTTTATATGTGACAGAGCTCTAGATCCAATTATTTATTGCGGTTATTATGTAAGTGAACAGGCCAAAGAAGCGATGTATAAACTGGAGGGAATACATGAATGGCTTGATAGGTATGATATTTTAACCATTACCCTGTAACCATTACTCTGCTGGAACCGATCGTGTCAGCCTTTGCCAGGCTAGCCTGCACGTCCGTGAAGTCTGGCTTTTACACAGATGGCAGCTCATTTTAGTTGGACCGAAGTCCAACTAGTATTAGTAATGAACACCTTTAATATTCAAATGGACTGTTCCATAGTCAAAGCAAACAAGGACGACGTTTGATTCATCATCAGACAACTATGCCTACCAGGTGTCTTGTTCATTTTACTGTTCAAAACGTTTGTGAAATGAAATTTATTTCTTTTCATGTTTTAATAATGCATATCAATTTACCAGTGTGTTGCTTTCCGTACAATATGACAGATAATATTATGTGATGTTGTTTTCTTTTCATTACATGAACATCAACGTGGTACATACAGGGTTGAATTTTCTTTTCAAACAAATACATTTTACAAATTTATAAAACTTTATTACACTTACAAGTATATATATATATTTGTTCATTAGCTACATAGCGTTACATTAGACTGTATTATTATTTTACCACATCAGGATGCGGAGATCATTTGTTATACTGGTATCACCGCACCCAGAATGCATCACTGATGACAATGTTCGACTTCCGTCACCAATAGAGGAACTGAGAGAGTTCCATGCCAAGTTTAAACAAGAGCTACATAAAAATGATATAAAATACTTGGAGCTAACACAGCTTGACCGACAAGAAAGAGTAAACATCGTTATCAAAGAACTCAACAAATTTAGACAAAGAAAAGATGGACGCGATGTAAAAGATTAATTTACATCCGGAGTCATAACGATGATTAAGATTTAGGAACGCGGGTACACACATGGAACTGTTATTTATAGACCATTCCTTGACATGAAGGTGACCACTATGATGACGACGACGATGACGACGACGACGACAACAACAACAAAACTCAAATGAACGGATCCGTTCGGGAAGTAAAATAATTTTGCCGCTTTTGCCACTCCGTAAAAATTGGTATTGCACAGCCGTGACGTGACGTTACTTGCGTTATACAAACATAACGTTGTTGGCATTACTCTATATAGGCCTGTCAATGAAAATCATGATGGTTTGAATGAAAATCGTTCTTTTTAAGTATGTGATAAATAATCGTGTAGGTCTATGAACTCGTTGAATTAGATAATATTATGCCAGAGAGGCTCGCGTAATATTATTTAATTCAACTCGTTCAATAAATTCACTATTGAACCTACACTCATTCAATATCATCTATATACGGCTACGTAATGTTTTTCAGATGATAAAACTATTACTGTACTAAATTGACACTCGACTTTGGACCATTCGTTTTTGTAATTATCTGCATCAAAAAAAGTAATTGTCTGTTCACAGTTCAAACGCATGTCACGTTTATCATACAACGTAATTATGTCATTTAAAAAACTAGTCAATTACGCAATGTTCCAAATATATTATTTCTTCTTTTTCCCCTTCAATTATAATTGAAGAATCCGTTTGCGTCTTGGGATTCTTGGGATGCGGGTATTGAAATGGTTTTAATTTCTCGTATTTTCGGCAATTTCCGACACATTTCGTTAATCGGCGAGGACTCGGATTGACAGGGTTAGCATCATCATGACAATTTTAAACAATATTTAATTTGTATCATTTACATTGACAAAGTTAGCGATGACCTTATAACTCAATAAAATTATTTATCTTTGCCTTGTCTTTTGATTTTTATCATACACACAATGTAAATATTGTCAAAGATATTAAAGGATTTAGGAGAAAGCTAAAAACATTGTCCGTTATCATGAATGTATCACGCAATTTTACAATAATTAGATAAATGAAAAGTCCTGAATCATATAGCCATGTAAACATCGTGATGAAACCACCAGTGAATGTCGGCTGGCGGGCGTTCGAGTGGGCGTAAAACAATTTCTTCCACGAGTACGCAACTCCTATATAGACCTTTTTACAATACGATATTTCCCTTAAAACGGAAGTTTCATTTAGTGCATGCGCTGAAAAGGCAATAACGAAGGACTAGATTTTAGGGGGGGGGGGGGGGGTCAACAAAACTTCAGGGATAGTTTTCAACAAAACATCAACGAAATGACATTATGTGCCTATTGACGTGAATTTGTAGATTTTAAAATAAATTACGGCACATTTTTTTATGTTCACATATGTATTATTGGTCATGGAGAATTACCTGCATGGTTCTGAGACAATTTTCTGTCATTTTAATTACGTGTGTATAAATGTGTCTCTTATCGCAATTGGTGTTCATATAGGTTCGAACAGTCGTATACTATAAGTCGGTTCCGCCATACCTTATTAGTCGCCGGTAAAAACCGGCGACTATATTTGTAACAGTTCTACTGGCGACTATATTTGTAACAGTTTAATATTATACCTATGGTAGGAGAAGACCTTAAAATCTGAAAATAAAAGCATATTAGATACATAGAAAAAAATATAATAAACTATCTTTGTGTTGATGGTTTATCGCACTGAAATGCAATTAAACATTGATTATATCGTATATGTAACGATGGGAATTTCAACTAAATTATATCTATATATATTTTTTCGATAGCGAACAACTATCGATGGATAACACTTTTACAGTAGAATTGCATTGTTTCATGCAATAATAAAAATATATATATATATTTTCATAGTAACTTTGCAAATATTCGATGATCGGTAATTATTTGTCGGTAATTATCGGATTCTGAACTAGTAACCTATACGGATTTCAATGTATGGTGTATGAAGTAGAATAACAAGTAGAATTACTAGCATATCACTTGCCCTACAAGCCTCGGTGGCAAACATTACTCAACATATTGTTCCACTTTTCTTTACACTTGAACCATTAAACTGCTATTTTCTTATGATCTTTTTGATAAAAATCATAATTCTATACGGCGACTTGATGCTTAAGCATCAAAATCTCTACTTGTCTATAGATGACCTGAAATATCAAACCAATCACTGACAAAATGTGTCCGGTTACCTCAATAGCTAGAGCGTTAAACTGTGAATCGGGCGACCCTGGTTCGATTCTCTGACGTCGCAGATCATTTTCGTTGTGATTGATCATGAAATCATTTCTACGGTCATTCGCACTGTACCTGTGCTCAGTATCAGTTGCTTCCATGGGAAAGTGAAGGCAACTAGTACTAGTAAATGGCTTGACAGCTTATCCAGGAACGTAGCGGTGACTGAACTGTGCTCTGATAAATTCAGCGTGGATCTCTGTCGTGATCCGGAGGGTACACTACGATCACCACCACGAAAATGTGTTTCACAACTTACACTTAAAAAGTGGTTTGAAATATTAGTATTGTACAAACATCTTGACTTGATCGCCATGTTCCACCGCAAAGGTAAATCTAGTAGTTGAAGCAAAACTTCATGTGCTGATATTGATCAAAGACCTTGATTGATTATAGGCCTATCGATCGACCTCGATCGCTACTTCATAACTTAGATTTTACAAATAGTCACAATTCGCTCCCATTTGACTGAAGAGTTAAAGGTTTGGATTGACTTTTCTTCTCACTCTCAAATTTTCACCTTTTTATCCTCTAAAACCCTTTGTAAGACATATATTGTGATGTTCCCAGGTCCGTTACAATTGTGTCTGAAATTAAACATGAGCAAACAACAACACAATCGCGTCAGGTTCTTTGACTTCATTGTCATTGAAATGTTTCAAATGTAACAACCAAACTTTTCTGGCGGCCCTCCGTGTTTGGTATATGCGTGTAACTTAGTAGAACCACACCTCCGTAGAACCACACATCAGTAGAACACTGATCATGATATTTTGTTAGTAAGCAGTGTAGCTGTTTCACACAGAAATTTAACAAATTGGTCGAGACAACAATCGGACGAGGAGGACTCATAAAGGTAATTATATCACGAAAATTTTGAAATGAACAAGTTTTTCGTTTCAGCAATATACATTATACAACGTGGGACTGCCATAGCTAACATAGCTAGGCGCTGAACACCCAATTTGTATAATAAAAGAGCAGTCAAGCTTTGAGTTGATGCCGTTGACTATTAGCTGTGTTATATTTGGCATTATCTTTATGTAGGTGTTTGGGAGGCAGGGCCAGTTTCTGTGACATGTCTATTATAGTAGCTATCTCCTCGTATTTTCATCTATAAAAAGTGAATCTCTAAGATAAACGTGTAAAGCTGATTCTCCAAACTATACCACGACTTTCATAAATCATCGGGCCGGCGCCGTTTTCGTAAAGGGACGAAATTACCCCTTTATCGGTAAAAAGTTGTATACAGTTGTTCCCCTTGCCAGGTTTTTATATAATTTTCACAATCGTTATTTTCAGTGCCAGAGGGGCTCCGGAGTCGAGTGGTTAAGGACGTTGACTTCAAACCACTTGCCCTTCACCGCTGTGAGTTCGAATCCCGACAGGGACTTTGGATTCTTTCATGTGAGGAAGCTATCCAGCTAGCGTACGGAATGTCGATAGTTTCACTCAGTGGCAAGGAAGGGCACCTGAGGTCTTCCTCCACCAGTAAAACTGGAACTTCGCCATATGACCGTGACGTAAAACCCAAATCAAACAAACATTTTCAGTGACAGACGTTGATAAATTGAATTGGAAACTTATAGACTTGCGAGTCAAAGAAAACAAACAACAAGTTTATAGCAAAAGTGTATTTCATTTTTAAAATTTGACAATAATCATTAAATTATATGATATACATGTATTTAAATAACAGAACAAAAAATCCTTTTTATTTTTATTTTAGTGAAACGGGATTGATCGCTGATGTTTGATGTTGACTGAGGGCCTGAAATTGTTTGGATTGATTCCATATAAATATAGCTTTATACCCTTTAAAATTCAAGTTCTTTTCGTGGTCAAGGACATGACAAAACATATTCAAGAAGTGCTGCCGATGCAGACTTTCAGGGAGTTTTCAAGGCGACCCTTTATTTTCAAGTAATTTGAAGCTTCTTTTTGTAATTGCCCTGCATACTTGGCTTTTTGGCGGACTCCACATTTAAACCAGCCTTTAAGTGTTGTTCTAGAATGTTTACTATAATTTATGTCTATAAAAGCTAAGTAACCGACTGAGTGACCATGGTGCCAATTGTAACTCCACATGCATGATTTATGTAACTTTTATAGAGGACAACAAAGTAATGCTACATATGCCGAACATAGAGTGTATATGATCTCGGCATTGTTTTTTTTTGTGAGCGGAAGATTTTTACAACATTTTTCATGTAAACAAAGTGACCACTAGGTTTTGGGCCAATTTTTTACACCAGTGAAATGATTTATGTAACTTTTGTCGAGGTCCATAAGTCAATGCTCTGTAACACCGCACTTTGGGGTCCAACACACTTTGAGGTCCGACCCCAAAGTGCGTTACATACTTCGGGTCCGATCCCAGAGTGCGTTACGCACTTTGGGGTCCAATTTCTCGATTTTGACCCCAAAGTGCGTTGGACCCTAAAGTACGATGCAAAGTGTAACGCGCTTTGGGGTCGGACCCCAAATGGCGTGGGACCCCAAAGTGCGATGTTACAATGCTCAACACGCAAAAAAAATCTAAGCTCTGTGCCTTAGAAGAAGCCTTGCATGTGTTTTTATAAACAAATTGATCTTCTATAGATGGGCCAGTTTTCACCCCAAGGACACGATTTATGTAACATATGAACATGTCCACAAGGCAATGCTACATGCTAACTATCTAAAGTCTAGGTATATATAAGTTCCACACAAGAAGACTTGAATGTATTTTATTATATAAAAATTATAAATGTATTTAAACTGATTGGACCCCAATGGTAGAGGCAACTTTGACCACATGGGTAATTTATTAAACTTTTGTAGAAGACCGGACGGTGATGCTGCATGCAATATATTAAAGCTCTTACTATTGTAGTTTTCGGAGAAGAAGATTTGAAATGCATCAGTATTTTTGTATAAAAGTCTATGTAGACTAAGTGACCAAGGAACGTTGCCATTTTAACTGGCAAACGGACATGGTTTATGTAACTTCGAAGAAGACCATAAGGTGGTGCTACTTTTCATATACCAAACCTCTTGGCATTTTAGCTTCAGGGAAGAAGCTTTGTAACACCGCACTTTGGGGTCAAACGCACTTTGGGGTCGAACCCCAAAGTGCGTTACGCACTTTGGGGTCAGACCCCATAGTGCGTTACGCACTTTGGGGTCCAATTTCGACCCCAAAGTGCGTTAAACAGGTACATATGCATTTTTCAACATCAGGCAAACGACCGCACTTTGGGGTCAGAGAAAATTTATGTTCATTATGTTTTAAATAATATAGTGTAGTCAAAGCCAATGGTAAACAAAAATCAAGGTATTAAATAGACATGTGCCCTGAATCAATAGGGATTTAAATGGTCTTGATTAGAAAGTGAAGAACTTTCACAAAATAAATTACCAAAAAAAGAATTTGTATCAATGCAGCACGCCTCCAGATTCACGCTAATTTTCATGAAAATTTTGAAAATTTATTTGAATGTATAATATTGTGGAACAACCAAAAGGAAGCAATTTTCACATTATCAATGGCACTTATAACTTACGTAAATTACCAAAAAGTTGTCAAAATATGCATAAATAGCCCTTAATGCGTTAGTAACGCAGTAGGAATATAGTTGTAAATATTGAAAACTCAGTCATTGACAGCACA